GGCCAGCACATGACCCAGATCTGCGCAGGGGCAGGGTGGGCAGCCACGGGCTGGGTCCGGCAGCATGGGGCTCTTCCTGGTGTATGGGGGCCATGCTTGGGGCTGCACTCCTGGCATGTGGGAGTTGCACTCAGGGCGGGTGGTAGTGGCACTACGGGAAGTGCGCTACGGGGGGTATAGTGAAATTTGGGGTGGCTGCAGCCCCTCCCCTCCCCCATAGCCCCTCTCCCAGCACCACTGCTACCCACCCTGAGCACAGCCTCCATGTGCCAAGAGCCCAGCACTGCCAGGCTTCAACCGACAGCTGCAGCCTACCCTCCCACCCTGTGCAGATCTGGGGACATATGCCACCCCCCTGTGCCTTCCCAGAGTGCATGCAGCAGCAGGAGCCACTGCCCCACACCCCCCTGAATGAGCCGCGGCTCAGTCCTGTGTCCCGCCTTGGCTGGGCAGTACCTACCCCAGCCCCTCCCTCACTCTGGGGGGGCACTGATCTGTCCCCTCCCCCCTCTCCTTTGACCACAACAGATTTACCAGCTGCACACAGCTGTCTACGCTGCCAGCTGTGCTTCTTGTCGGTCATGTGCTGTGCTGCAGCTGTGCGAACGCACGGGCATTTATCAGCCAAATTATCGTCCATGTCAGGCTGATTTCTGATGCAGTCAATTTTCTTTATATTGGTGCTGATCCGATATTGGACCGATTATATTGTTGCACCTCTACTTACTATCAGAGGGAAGGAGAAGGTATTGTATGGGCTATTGTATTATGTGGGCTATTGCTTTTACTTTAGGACACATGCCCAGCTTGTTACTGGGTGTCATTTAGTGGTTGTGATTAAGTTCAAGTAGTTATTAAACCCACACAACACCTGTTTTGATTTGTATTCTGTATTTCTTTGGGTATCAACAGTTGGGATGGTTGCTAGTTTTTGGGGCTAGAAGCATGTGCTTTGAATGTGTGTTCTTTTGCATAAGTTTGCATTCACAGCATCCTCAGCAATAGTTCCACATATGCTGAGATGGATTATGAATTAGATGGCACATGCATTACTGTCTGGGCCCACTAAGTCTTTCCTTTTTATGCTCTTGATCTACTCAATTCCTTTCAGATATGCACATGATGGTTGCCAAACCAGAGCAGTGGGTAAAACCAATGGCTGTGGCAGGTGCAAACCAGTACACCTTTCATCTAGAAGCTACAGACAATCCAGGGGCATTAATCAAAGACATTCGAGAAAATGGAATGAAGGTGAGGAATGTTTTTAAGCGAGTGCCTTTTTCATTAGCTTTGAAGATCTGGTTGTTGGAGTTCATGTAGGTTATGGATAAGACAAAGTAAAGATCAGTGAGGTCCCAGCCATAATATTCTTGCATGCATATGGACTACTAATAAGAACTGAATATAGGTTGTATTTGATGAAACCAGTTTTTGCCTTAATTGATCCCACAAAATGTTCCACCTTCTTTTAAAATGGTGGGTGTTCATATGTTTTTATTAGGACTGTGGCAGTGAGCACAGCTGTGTGTATGCAGTTATACTACAGAAGCGTTTCATCTGTCTGTCTTTCCTACCTTCCATAGGTTGGTTTAGCTATCAAACCAGGGACTACAGTTGAATATTTAGCACCATGGGCCAACCAGATAGATATGGCATTGGTGATGACAGTGGAACCTGGATTTGGAGGGCAGAAGTTTATGGAAGATATGATGCCAAAGGTATGCTTGATTACTTCAAATTAAATAGAATTAAAGCTTTTGGACTCTGGGTGGTAATAGGGAAATGAGGTGAGATTTTGTGAATGCTAATTCTATAAATGGCTTTACATTCAGATGCTACCTGGCAGTTTACCCAAGTGGTTTATTAATTTAAATATCCTGCTCATTAGGTTCAGTGGCTAAGAACACAGTTTCCTTCCTTGGACATTGAAGTGGATGGTGGAGTTGGGCCTGACACCATCCATAAGTGTGCAGAGGTAAGCTTAAAAAAATAGGGATTTTTTTTTTCTAGTTATTCCTGAATTCTTTGTTTCAAACAGAATGATGTCCCTTGAAAGAGCCCCTTTCTAGGAGTCTCTCATTGTGTCCACCTGTTGTCAGGTATAGCAGCCCTGTGGGTTTAATTTTCAGCCCTGTACTCCCCAGTGTAAATATAATCTGATTTTTTTTTTTTTTTTCCAGTAGTTTCTAGTACCAGACAGACTAGAGCAGTTCCTTTGTTGCCATGTGTTCAAAACAGATCCTGTATTAAAACAGGAATGTTGTTAAACATGCAACTAGAGATCTGTTTGGAGAAAATCCTGTCTCCCTAGAGTGCTTTGCCTGCAATTCTCTACCTTTTCTAAATCCAAGCTGGATGAACTCAGTTTCTTAAATTATAGTTCTCTAAATCATTGATACTGTTCTGTGGTGTTCAGCTGGTTGTTTATCTTCTTTAAGGCAGGGGCAAATATGATTGTGTCTGGCAGTGCCATCATGAAGAGCACAGATCCTCGGTCTGTGATTAACCTGCTAAGGAACGTGTGTTCGGAAGCTGCTCAGAAGCGCAGCCTGGACCGATGAGATCAGCTCAAGCCATGTTTAAGTTTCCTTGCGTACAAGAGAACGTTCACCTCCGTTGTGCATGAGGGGCCAGAGAGACACTAAACTGGAAGCGTGGTGCTGCTGAACTGAGGAATCATTCCTTTACTGCAATGAAGCAAGCAGCAGAGTAAAATGTTACAACTGCTGTGCCAGGGCTGGAAATGCAATGTATAAATATTATCACTTTAATTTCCTGGAGATTAATTTTATAGCACATGCTATAACTGATTGGACAAACAATTCAGTCAGTTTTTGCTTGAAAGAAATGCGAGGGATAATGCATACAAGCTGTGGTGGAAGATTAAAGAAACTGCCTGGTGCGCCGTGTGTTTCATCATATAATTTGTGCATTCCTATGAAACTTTTTTTCAGTGTTTGAAATAAACACACTTTTACTGGTGTGGTAAGTTCCATTGTTTGTACAGAGACTTAACTCTGTAATTTGAGGCATGCCAATAGTACATGTACTACAGGATAAAAGTGACAAAGCTGCAGCTTCCTTGGCATAAGCATGCTGTGGTTTAGGCACATCTGTTAATCCACTTGGTGTAGGAAGCCGAATCAAGCTTTGGTACCTTACTTCAATCTTAGATGCTACTGCTGTGACACAAACAAGACACTTTTATAGTGGAAAACCACTTTAAAGTTTAGGCCCAACTCGTGAGTGATAATGTCCAAGTAAAAATGGTCAGCAGCAATAATCTTAATACTCCTTAGTTTATACAGCAATAGAAACTAAAAGATAATAGGCTAGTGTTTCTGCGGCCTAAAGATGTTATTGTCTCAAACACCAATACTGTAGGCCTTGTAGGGCACCAATCCCCATGCTATTGGAAAGAGGAGAGTCTCCACCTAGGATTAAAGTGACTTTAGACTACAGAAGCTTAATTTTCCTTTTAAAGTTGCATAGACTTTAGGTCTCAACAACCAAAGGCCACTTGAAACACAGGTTTGATGTGCTTGAGCTTTATTTATACATGCCTGTTTGTCCTTAAGCAGCAATGCACTTAGGATGAGCTGAACAGCCTGCCTTTTAGTCTACAGTGACCAGCTGTAAAATTCCTAATAGAAGCAGCCTCTTCCTCGGGGTGGGTGTTTGCACATAATCCATCAAATATTTACTAGCATGTATTCTGTCCCTCCCAAGTCCCTTGCAGTCCTCCTGTGGTCACAAGCAACCTGTTTCCAGGCTGGAGTACCAGCAGCTCTCTCAACTGCTGCATGTGAAAAGAAAGGGCTTTAAAAAGGAGTAGCTTTGGCTTAGACCTTTTAAAAAAACACCATAATGTGTATGGGATAAAGGCCCAGGGAAGGTGTACTACACTGTAGTAAACAGTTTGAGCCAGTAACAATCAAGCCCCATACAGAGCTTGAAACACGTTGCCAGAACTCTTTCCTTCTCTTTCTCTACTTACACTGCCTCTGTGAACAAGCGCTAGATGTGAGAAGGCTAAAGTCATGTTTTTTATTACTACTGATACTTACAATATTTGAGATTAAGTGGTACACAAGCCCTCTACTTCTCCAGTTCAGGCACTGGGAAAGAGAAGAGTCATTTAACCTTGCCAGAGGGGAGGAAAGCACACTTTTGAGAAAGTAAGGAGGTCAACTTATTAAGCCATAGCAACTCTCAGGTATCTTTAGAAAAGGTCCTCCACAAGCAAATGTGGGTGCTCTTGACTTGGTCACATTTCTGCTTCTCCAGGTGGGAATTAATTAGAGCCTCTGAGGCTTAAAAATTCAGACTAAGTTCCCACAAAGCCAAGTTTCAGGAAGTCAGAGATGCTTGTCAGTATAGAAGTAATAGTACAGACCTGACTGCACCCTTGCTCCCAGCATCTTCCCCCACCCATGGGTAGGGACACGCCCACACCATGCTAGCTTCTGGGGACTTTTAAAAGAAGTCCCTAAAGCATGTAAGAATCCACCCCATTTCCCTTCTGTGCTTCAAGGCATATCCCCTTCCTCCCCTCCTGTTGCTTCTGCTTTCCTAGCTGTCCTGGAGGCAGAGAAGCTTTGAAGCCCCTTCTCCCCAAGCTGCATGAGGGGGGCTGGGGACAGTGACAGTGGCAGCAGCAGAGATGGGCCAGGGGAGGGAGTGAGTTCCCCTACCCTGCCCCAATACCTGGGGAGCAGTCAGGGGGAATCCCCCCTTCCCACCACCTCTCCTGTCACTTCCTAGCTGAGTCCAGCCCAGCTGGAGTAGGTCTGAAGTCCCTACCCCCTCCACTCCAACTAAGGGGAAAGCAGCAGGGATAAGTGGGGAGGGGAATGAGGGGATTCTTATGTACTTTAGGGATTTTAAAAGTCCCCAGAGGCTCCTGGGCCACTGCACCCCCTTCTGGATCCACCCCTGTTATAACTCATTTCCACTACACTATCCTTTCTCAGTTAACTTCAGGTAGTTTGTCAGCATTTAACAATTCATGCTACCTTGCTTAAAGGCACTACAAGTTAAGTCATGCTGAGCTTTACACCCCCAGCAGAAAAGCAGGTAACAAACTGCTGAATTCTGTCTAGCCTTTATTCCTTTGTTAAGAGTCTGACAGCATAAACCCTTTGAAATCCAGTTTAGTAGCATTTTAGAGGGGAAAAACGAGCAAGAGAAATACTGTATTTGCTCTGTCCAGAGTGACCAACTGTTCCTGCATCAACATGCACTTCTCTGGTTGCAGTCTCTTTCTCCTTTAATTTTGAAAACCTGCTTTACATTTTTTTTTTATACCCAAGATTGAAGAAACTGTTAGTTGTCATGGAGATGATCAATACTCCCAGAAATGCTAACTGCATTCTTTCTTTCACTCCTTAAGAGTTACCCAATCTTCTCACTCTGCCTGTTCTCCTACACTGAAGTAAAGTGAACACACCAAAAATACCAGTTGCTGGACCTTCCTAAAAAGTAAAAATGTTTTTTGTTTTTTTAAAAGGAAACAGTTTCCCAAATATTTATGAAACAAGTCAACTCTTCAGTAGTACCTACCTGCATAATGCTTAGCACTTTAGTGCCACAACAGGAGGGGTTTAGGGAAAAATTACTTTCTAACATTTTTATTTTTATGGCTTAAGAGCTAAGAGACAAAAAGCTGAGTTTGCAGAGTAGCTGTCAGCACTTTCCTACAGTGCGGTGCATTGCTTCCAGTGGTTCCAAGGCACTTATGACACAACAACAGACTACGGAGAGGGGAAGGGAAATCTATGGAGGCCATTTCTTGAGAGAGAAAGATTGCAACTATTAAACTAGCTTGTTTTTATTAACAATTGTACATGGTGCTATACAAGCGCACAGCAATTTTTAAAGAAAATGACAAGGGTCAGATGGTCTTGTTGAGACACCAGACTGGGAAAGAGTTCAACTAAGCAAGTCCCTTATTTTTTCTGTCTCAGTCCCACACTGCATGGTAATGGGGGATCTCATCTTTGCCACATCATTTTTATCAGGATCCAGCCTTTTCAAGCACGGATTTTGAGAAAGTATCTGAACAGAGACAGAATGGCTGTCTATATTCTCTTTAGTATCAATGTCCACTTATGCAGATAAAGCTAGCAAGACAACAAATGTTCTTATAGGATGAGGATATTAATACTGGTCAAATGAGTCAATCACTAAGAGCTATGCAAGAACAATGCACCTATTTCCCCATGCTACAGGTTGCCATTCACCATTATTGATATTATGGAGCAGTAATCTCAAAAGGATCTACTGAAAAGCAAGGCAGCCTGGCACATGTTCATTTAATGTCACCATGGGATCTGATTGCTGATCCTAAGACTCCTGCCTCCTGTCATGCTAACCCCAGAACCTCGTGGGAATCTGGAACTGGTTCCAGTTTGTTACTACCTTGTCACATGTTCAATTTAAGGCGCAAAGGAAACCACACACAAAAATATTACACATCTCTTGTAGAATATTTTTGTAGGTGGTTTCCAACTTTGTTCTGCCATGTAATTTATGGCATGATTAACAGGTTAACTGTATCTTACGTGTAAAGTTTGCTAGGGCCTACCTTGCAGTGCACTAAGTCAGCCAAGCGTAGGTAACATTCCTATTCCCTCAAAAGTTTACTTCATTTGAAAGTATTCTTTTTACGTTTATAGGGACATCTACTTTTTCCCATCAAGATTCTGAATAGCTCAGAATTCATTTCTAAATCAGTAGTCCTCAGCCAACTCTACTTCAGGACATTACAAGCAGAGACCCTAAATGGTTTATCAGTTTGCTGTACCTGATACCTTAGGAGCGCTCCTCACTGTCCAAGCAATCAGAGCAGGAAACACCAGTTAAACTACAAAGCTTGTGGTGTCTATCAGGAGATGAGTTAGCTACTTCTATCATCACCATGGAGGAGTGGCAAAATGGAGAAGTAAAGAACCTCCAGGGTCTTCATTATATCCTTCCAGGCACACCATCCCAGATGCAGCCAAGAGTGGAAGAATTAAAAAAATGGAAATACACCATCCCAGCCAGAAACTAGAAGGAAGGTATTTCTCAGAGCCAGTCTTAACCAATACATAATAATCATGTCCTGGTGCAGCACTAAGATATTCAACAGCAATACTGTACTATTACTACTTTGTAGCTTTATAAAGCCATTCGGAAACAAACTGAATCCTCACCGCTTGAATGTGGCATGATGCTACTTTTCTGCTTTGCCTCTTTATAAAGAGAATCTGAATGTTTCCATCAAATTGAGTCTATATACACATA